GTTCCACCGGTGTGACGACCGATTCCCCCGCAGCGCTATGGGAGAGAGGCGCCCTCAAAGGAGATGACGGCGAATGTGGATTTGACTTGAAAAAAACGTCAGAGAGCCCCCCCGACACGCTGTGATCTGGCATATTCTGCGTCCGTCCTCGGCCCCACACTGTTCGGCCATCCTGCCGAGCCATCTGTGAAGCAATAGATTACCTGGTAGCCCCCGCTAATCCAGGTGGGCCGGTGAGGGTATGAAGCAGAGTGGAAATAGTTTCAATCGATAAGTCCCACGTTTCCTCTCTGGCTTAAGGCTTGACCTTGACACAGCAAGGAAACACAGCAAGGAAACGCAACAATGCACCAGTGATGTGGCAGGCTTATTGTTTCTTTTCTTGGCTCCAGGATCTTGTTTAGGCGGATGACTGGCAGCCCCGTGTTTATCAACTCACTTTCACCTTACAAAAGTTTGAGTTTCTTTCCCTTAAAAGGGAGGCACGAGTCAGCATTTTCCTTCATCCGCCAGCCTCTCATGATGAGAGAGCAGAAAAGAACAGATTGTATTTCTGTCTTGGTTCATCCATCCATGACTTAATGTTTGAGTGTGTATGAATCCTAGAGTCGCTCTTTTGTTTGGCTTTTTTTTTCTCTTCATCTTTTAAGTCAGAGGGATTCTGCAAGTCTCGAAAAGAGAAGAAAGGAAAGAAACAAGTTAGAGCTACCTGATGTGTCACATTGGAACACCTCTTTCTGTTTTCTATAAATATTCAGGGAAGGTCAAAGATTCCTAGGCGAGAGTTGTTTTATTGCCCTTCAAAGGTGCGTTCTCTCATTACATTGCACCGTGTAAACCAGCTCCATCGCCTGCTTATTAGATTTAGTTGGACAGAAAACATTCTGCTAATTAATGCTGCTGGCAGACTGTGTGTGACTGACTGTGTGTGTATGTGAGTCAGTGTCTGTCTCTGGCTGCCTTGGAGGCTGCTGAGCTGAGATGTATGAGCCTCATTAGTCTTTGTGTGCGCATGCCTGTGTGGATGGTTGCCTGTCTCAGCGCCAGCATGCAAACCCAAAAAATGGAAATGCGTGCGGATGTGTGCTCATGAGTGAGAGTGTGCGTGGCTTTGACCCTTTTTCTCAGCCGGGATATGCCGGCCGACGAGAGGGAAATTTGCATGGGCAGCAGCGGCGGGGATCCGTTTGATGTGTCCGCTCACAACACGTCAGGTGGTCAGCAGAGAGCCCGCACAAGCGTATGAAGGGAAAACCGGTGAAGGAACAGGGGCAAGAAGACAAAATGTGTGCAAATGCAGAATGTGCAACAACCAAGAAATATGAAGCTCCAGAGGCAGGGATACGGCTGAAGTGAAAAGAAGATTATATGGCTGGGAGAGGGAACGATGTGGACAAAAAATTGCCCAAACAGGTTGATTTTTACTCCAAAATGGTTTCACTCTGCTGTGCTCAGCACACACTCATTTATGTCTTTTAGAGTAATAAAAAAAGAATGACTGCACTCTGAGGGTTGCAAAGATCATGAAGGAAATGCAGGGTTCTTACTACAAAAGAGGTTTTTCCAGGATCTGGATCGTCAACAATCCGTGTGAATATGGTTGACGCTGTTAAAAACATTGGCTGGCATTGGCATAATGAGCTTTTTAGAACTGAAGCTAAAGGAAGTTGTTGTTTTTCCAAAGAGAGCCCCTAAAGCTCTATCATCTGTCATATATGGTGCAGTGATGCACCACCACAAAATATGTCAGGGACAGAAACACTGCATACATTTTTGGAGCCTGACACGGCCCAGGCTCCAACTAGGTTTTCTTTTCTAGAATATAATGGCTTCATTTAAAGCGGTATAGATTTAAAAACTAAAAAGTTGGTTTTTAAATGCATATTTGACAATTTAGGGTCTGATCCCCAAAAATGAACTCCTGAGTTACACCACAGTCATTCACCACTAAAAAACTACCGTTTGCCCTAAGCCGGACCAACAAGATAGCTGCATGCAGGCTTCAAAAGGAAGAGGGCCACTGCTGGCCAATAACCACAGATCAGAAACAGTCCCAAAGTCAGAGTGGCCTGCAGGGAGAGACAAATAAGAAATATGAGGTAGACTCCGCAAAGTGAGTTTGTGAAGCACAGCAATGTTGTACAAGTGCATTAAGAGTGAGGGTGGAACGCAAAGGGGTGGCGCTGAGTGCATCCCCAAGCAGCCTGGGCATATTGCAGCATTGCTGAAGGACTTGGTTAACACTAATATAAAGTTTTTTCAAGAAGAAAAAGTGTTAGGCGCCCTTGTCCTCATCCCAAAATATGTTCTTTTCTTTTTTATTGTTCCTGGATGATAGTGTTTGTCTTTTTCTAAATCTGATACCCATTCCAAATGTTATGATGAATCCACAGAGGATGAAAAAGAAGTCCTTCAAAGCTCCGGTAAACAACCTTATTGCCTAAAACAGGAGCCCCTGACAACTTTGTCACGGTTGTGCCTGATTTCTTGTCCCCCAGATTTGAATTAAACGCACCCGGGTGTGCGCGCTGCCGCTCCTTTGAGGTAGGAAACCCGGTGACTCGGCGTACTGAACGGCTGAAGTTTATGGAACCTGCACCAGCACAATAATCAAAACTGTAATTAAATGCAAATGACGATCAGTGGGTTTAACATTGTTAAGGAACTGAGCAATGCAGGGAAAGTTTGTGCTGTTAGGATCTCTGCACCATATTTTATTGTTGTTGATGTGTGTGTTACTCTCTGCTTAATTGCCTGTGCTATTGCTACGCCAGATATTTATATCCAAACAAAAACCTCGTGCACCGTTCTTGACACAATGGAGACGGCGACAACAGAGCTCCAGACAGACACTCCCCACCACCACCCGACGCCCTCCTGCATTTGAAGTTGTGCGAGCAAAGCTTCAGCAGCAAATCTCCGGCTTTGATGTAAAACGTCTGAATGGGCTCTTTGGAAAACAGGTCTAAAGGTTCACGACATTTAAGGCCGCACTCACATGAGTGACTCACTGCAGGCGGCAGCTCACAACCCGCCCATGGTGTGCCGTGTTGGACTGTCTGCGTCTCTGGCACAAACACACTGGCAAAAGCGATTGTCTCACGACAATGGCCTCACAAGAATCCAGCCATCTCACAAGTGACTGCAGGACCAGATGCCTTGTTGTGAGCACAACAAGTCGCACAAACCTGCGAAAGGTTCACTTTGTCACTTTGGGCTTGCCTCGGTCAGAGTATTTGTGTGTGCAAATACAACCTTGGAAGGATAGAATTTGCATTCATGTGGACTGGCATGTCAATGCAAATGTGCAAGTGTGCATCTGTGGGCCATCAAACCAAGAAATTTAGCAACAGGGAGAAATCTTTCATTCTGACAGGATTTACCGTGTCTGGTTTCAGAAGGCTTCACAGACAGACAAATGGATCTAAAGGATCTAATTTCAGGATGCCTCTTGAAGTTGGCAACAGATTAAACTTGTAGTGTTTGCTCCTCTTCTGAGCACTCTCTTGTTTCCATGGAGACGTGGACACGAGCATTTTGGTTTTCAGCGAACTGAATGATAGGCTGCTCTTCACCATTGATGCTGTCATTTGGGTTATTGTAACAACAAGCCGTGCTTGGACGAAGGGGTTCTGTGAGTGGAGGACAGCAGTAGAACATTTAATCTGACAGTATTGAACACGTACAGAAAAACATTCCCAGCTAAACTTTTGAAACCATCCTCTTTTTGTCACTTTTTCCCTCCACAGTCTTCCACACCTATTCAATGCCCCACATTTGTTGTTTGCCAAATATGCTCCCTCCAGCCGGGGTTCATTCATACTATCCTTAAAAAAAACATCAACCCCCCAAAAAACAATAAAAGCCAAGACTAGCCTCCCTTTTGGTTTTGGGCTTCTTTTTTGTCTATTTTTATTACAGTGGGAGAAGCTCCCTCCCACCCTTGGATGAAATATAATGGCTCGATCCACTCACGGTGACACTGATGTACTATTAGGCGCAGCAAGATGCTTAGACCAGCAGAGTCAGGAGTCCCTAAAACATAAATCAGAAGCCAGCCTGGAAAAATGGTCAGGTTTTAATTCGAGGAGGCAGAACTTCAAAGCCCAACATGAGCAAATGAAGAGACAGGAGCTGTTTGACTACTTGTCTGTGTGTTTGGGTGTTTTTGTTTGCACATGTCACCGTATGCTTACATGGGAGCGTTCACAGGTTCCCACGCAGCCCATATATGATGAGACAGGGGATGCAGCTGACTACGTCTGCCCCCCCTAAAAAAAGAAAAAGAAACGCTGAAGGCTGGGTGCCTGCTGGGTGAGCTATAAATAGCTTTGTGGTGACAGCAGGACTTAGAGCCTCATGTGAGTGGGAGCATCTTCCAGAGATGTCCATGCTTTTTATTTCAACTTGCCGTACTTTTTTTTTTTCAGTAAAAAAAAAAAACAGTCTGGCAACTTCCTCCATGCTATTTTATGATGAACTGAAGTTTTGCTGCAAAATTGTATAGGAGAGGCTCATTTCAATCATTCAGATCCAGAACCTTTGTGTTCGCAGAGGACCAATTATCCCATCTCCTCACCCCCATTTTTCTGCATGGCCTTTCTACCAACATCTCAATCAGGGACGGATATTTAAACATCAGAGAGGTTTTAATTGAAAGCTCCACGTTTTTGTTTTGGATTAGAACATAGTTTGCCTGTTTTCCCCGTGCACACCCTGCTTCCCAATAGGTTCTCAGGCTTCCTCTCAGTTCAGAAACATGCATGCTCGGTTGATTGATTATTTAAAATCTACCCTATGAGTGAACGTGAGTGGCCCTGTGATGCACTGGCGACCTGTCCAGGTAGTGCTCCCCATTCACGCCCAGTGTCGCAAACCTACGAGCATTAAGTGGTGCAGCGTATGGATGGATAGGAAAATAGTTTTCAGGACTGAATAATGATTGCAATGTGTCCAAGCATTTACATTAGAACACAAACGTTGGTTACACATTTCTAACTATGATCTTTTGTTGGTTAGGTTCAGACTTTCCGTGCACCACCCACATTATCCCTGTGAAGAACGAAGAGGGCGTGGTCATGATGTTCATCCTCAATTTTGATTACATCCTGGATGAGGGCAGCAGCGACTCGTTGGAGAGACTCAACCACTCCTCACCCAAAGCTGACCAACGTGAGTAAGAAACACACAAAAGGCATGAGGTGAAGGAGGATGTTGTTGATAATGACCCATCACGTTTAATGTAAGCATTTTTAAGCCTTTTTTCCAGCCTAACCCCAACACAGCCTTATAAATCCAGTTTTGTAAATGCCATTCCGTCAAGAAGGTGTTTGAAATATTCCCTAAAATAACCCCATAAATGGGCTACACATTCAGAATGCAGAATTTTCCATGTTTTTCAATTCATTCTACTTATTTTTTACACGGCATGAGAAGAAGGAAGGATAGAAGCAGTTATGTAGCTATCTTTGCCTACACCCACTTATACTGACACCTTTTTCTTCAACTACCATAGTTGAGAATGAGCATCAGCTTACTAGTCTTATTTCAATGTAACAAATGCACTGAATCTACTGTTGATGCTGTAGTGTATTGCCTTTGTGTGCTGGATTCCCTTCTAATCGGCAGCCTGTGCATTTGCCTGTAATCATGAGTGTAGCTGCAGGAATTCCTTGCTCAACAGCTACTTTGGCATGTTGACACCAGCCTTTAGCAGACACTGATGTGTTTGCCTGCTATCATCTCAAAGGTCTGGCCCAATTATAGCTCGCACCCTGCCAGGATGGCCTGATGAACTACTTGAACAGTGCTGTCGAGCTCTCAGCTACCCAGAGTTGATGGTGTAATAGTGTATAATGCCATTCCCCAGAGGTGCACTCGAACACAATCTTGATGCCTCCTCCTTCTTTGAAGTCTCTTCCCCCCATTTTCTCCCTGTGACATATAAAGCAGCAGCTCAGAGGAGCAGGGGTCACCTCCACATGACTGTAATTGGACAAGGCTCCTAACAGGCTGCCCTGCCTCGTGGGATGTGTAGCACAAGTGTGTGTTGAGTTTACAGTGAAAGCCAGAGTTTCCACTTCTTTGTTTGCTCTGCAGGTTTTTTCACAGTGCTGTGAATATACAGCCAAAGATAGAATTCTCTCAGATTCAAAGTGCATGTGTTTGTAACGTTATATCTGCGTCACTGCCTGTTTTACATTCTCTAAGTTTTCAGGTTAGGCTAACCCTAACCTAATATTATTATCAAAGAAGTTCTGTCCAGCACCGCCCTATACATTTGGAGGCGACATATAGATTTGTACACAAGGTCAACATCAGTGTTGTGGAGCTTTTTCTATTCAGACTCATTTACCCATTGTAGGGTTGCAAGATAAAATAGGTCTGCCTTTTTTATGCTATGCACTGAAGCCTGGCTGGATGCACCTGTGTGTATGTTTGACATACAGGCCATCTCAGTGTTCTGAGACCTGTGCTCTGCTGATTAGAAGAAGAAATCTTCAGCCAAAGTATAATTTGAGCATCTTATGGACTGCTTGTTAAGTAAAAAACTCTCTATTTCCACAAGATTTAATCTTAAATTGTAGTCAAAGAGTTGTGTTTTTCATACCTTTGTTAAATTACCACAACTAAATCCATCTGGTAACATACAGCATCTGATCAATTTATTTTACATGGGTTCTTGAAAACAAAAAATGAGGACATTAAGTAGTGGCTATTGGTGATAATTGCCTTGTGCAAATGAATAACGCATTTGTCTTAGACCATGAAGTTCCTGAAGTGTAAGTAATTATGAGATAAATAATTATGTACAGCACACAGTTTTATCTCGTGTTATTTCCTCTTCTTTCTTTTTTAGGCCTATAGGCATGGCAGCTGTCTAATCAATTGTGAATTAAAACTAACAGCTATTAACTCAGGCTCGGTGCAGTAATACCCTCACTTTCTCTCTTGTTAATGAGTGGAGGGCAGAGGAGACACAGCTGAATAATCTGTGTAATTCTTCAGAGCTGGTGAATAATAGTGGGACTTGGAGCACAGGTAAACACCCCTTAAGGCAAAAATAATGCTGCATTTTTCCATTCTTGATTGATCCATTGTTATCTAACAACAAAACCCTTAAAACAAAAACCAGCAACAAAGGGATGCAAAATGGTTTTTGTCCCACCCTCGGCACAGGATGAAAGTTTATTCCTCTATATGTGCTCTTGGTTGTGACATTTGGACATCACATTGCAAAGGGGATATTTCCCTACCCAGCAGAAGGGGCGGGGTGAGGGGATCTGAGAGCCCAATTAATATTCAATGCAAATATTGCTATCTGGTATCATAGCAACAAGGCCAACCGTGTGTCTGCTGGTTGTGTAAAGCGTCTGGTGAGTTTCTGCAGGGAGAGAGGGAGGGGGTTGAAGGGGGAAAAGACGTGATCCTGCAAGGACCTGACAACATTGAAGGGTTTAGCCATTTCAGTAGCACAACACAATAAGGAAACACACAGTTTTTTTCCTCAGCCCGTACAACAAATGCGGGACCCAGTCATGAGGTAATTAACAGATGTGTTGTGTTTGGAGCAGGCTTAACCTCTAGGCACCATAATTAGAAGAAGCGCTCTGAGCTTGCAAATGCATTCATGTGTTTTATCATTTTGCCAACATGTGTTTGTTCATTGTATGACGCTGGTGTTTGCCTCTGAATGACTAGTACTGGTTTTGTAATACTTCACTGGCTATAAAAAGGGAGCGATTTCTATCTAGGTAAAATCATTTTTCAATGTGTTTCTGCTGGTCGCGTTATACATGTTTAGGGCGTCTTTGATTTGGGCAAATTTGATTTGTAAATCTGAAGCTCATCCCAAATCAGCAAAGACTCTTGCTCATTATTTGCAACAGAAGAAAAAGTTTGACGTGTTCTATTTTAAGCTCTAAATAAGGCTCTGCGATTGGATGACTAACTTGTTCAACCTCCGACTAAATGCAAAACATAATTCCCAGCTCCACTAGTATCTGGCTGGAGACTTGCTTTTTTAACTCACTACGCTGACTGGAACAGACATTCTGAGTTCATCTTATATTTAGCTCTTTTTCTCCTCACTGTCAATCTCAGCCCAGCTCAAAGGGAAGTGTGGTAAATAAAGACGCACACCGCACCAGACAATAATTCTGCTTTCTAACTTACCACCCATTGTGTCTGTGACTACATCCGTAGCTGTTTGCATTTGTGCTTATGTAGTGTGTAATGTTCTGTGGTTGATCCCAGAAGATTAATATATACATGTATGTAAGTGTGCATATATAAATAATGGAGCTCACTGCACAAAAAGCTTTTATAAGCTTTTTCTGATATGTGTATGTTTTGGTAACTGACTAATTCACAACACAGAAGCCGTTTTGATCCATATGTGAAACTCTGCCCACATTGTACTCATGCATTGGCCATGGGATTAAAAATTAAATTAAGAGAAATATTCCTTTTGAGCTATTTGCTATTAAATTCTTTCTCACAACCCACAGGGACTATCATTAAAATCCCGGACAAAATCCTTTATAGAACCCTTTAATGTACCTCAGCCATCATGATCTATCAGGAAAGGCCCTCCCAAATGAATAAATTAAGAATATTGAGGATTTCAAAAGCGCCTGAGGCACATTAGTATGTTTTGATCAAAATAAAAAATGTTGTGTAATAACTGCACTTTTGTTTCCAGAGATATGAAGAAACACTGTGGACTTTATAGAACATCTAGTGAAAAATATGAAAGATTAGAAACCACCATACAATGTTTGTTTTACAGTCAAATAGCCCTGAGCAGTTATGAAGTCAGCTATCCATTTAGAGTTTATGTTTACAAGCGCTGGGCCCCGAGATACTTAATTCCCAGATGCTCCCAATTCTGTAACTGTCAGTGTTACTCAGTTTGACATGAGGGAAAAAATAATGTAGTAGAATAAGAGTGACGCTGCACATCACTGTCCATTCTTTTAACTCTTCTTTATCTTTTTGTTTCTAACAGGAAAAGGGAGATTCTTTCGCTTTCGTTTCCCAGCCTTACCTCTCCTGGGCATCAGCAAGCAGTCCTTGCCCCAGGAGGACCCAGACGCCGTCATGGTGGACTCTCCTCGCCACAGCGATGGCTCGGTGGCTACCCGTGACTACCAACTTCCCACTACCCGCGAGAGCTGCAGTCCCTCCTACGCCAACGACACCCGCGCCCTCATCGGCCCCAGCCACTGCTCCACCCCCGTGTCCGGGCCTTTGGATCACTCGTCGCCCAAAGGCCCCTGGGACCGGATATACCCGGACCAGCACGTCACTCAGACCCAACGCCGGGGCCAAGAGGGTACACTAATTACAGCTCCATCAATTCCAGGCCTCACTCCAACCGCCTCCAGGGAGAGTGTGAGCAGTATCCGCAGAGCCTCCTCCGTGCAAGACATGGAGGGCTTCGGGTCCAAGTCCAGGATAGCATTCAGGGACAGGCATGCCAGTGAAGGTAGGAATCTCCAGCTCTGTGGAAGTCTTGTACATTCCCAAACATGTCCAGCACCAGGAGTCAAATGAAAAGGGAGTAAAATTTTATCTAAATAGTAAGCCATGATTTAATAAACAGAGCTGATCTTAGCAGGAAATAAAATCAGTTTTAAATTGATAATTAATTCCAGATTGGATCTCATTGAGTGCTTAAGGAAAAATTCAGGCTGACATTCTCTATCACCAGGTTCACACCACAGTAGATTTTTCTTTGAATAAAGTGCATTGATTCACAATCTACCCTGCATACTATTAATCATTCACTGGAGTTTGAATCTCTGATTTGAATTTTTCCATTACTGGTCTTGCTTCCTCCAGGCCAATCAGTCTGTGCATTCTGACTGCAGCTCTCATTCAAATAGCTTTGTGTCTGACACGGTGATATGTTCTCTTCACCGAAATGAATCTCTTCACAGACACAGAAATGGGTGTTTAAAGCTGGCACCCATTTATCACCACAAAAAACAGAACCCATCTCTCACCTCAGCTCCCCTTTCTCTTTCCTCCTCGCCATCACAGACAATGGCCGCAATATCAAAGGTAACCAACAGCAGCCCGCTGCATCTTTAGCTCATAACCTTTGGCACGCCTCCTGGATTCTGACTTACAAAGCCTGCTTGTTGCATGAGTTTTCCACATAAAGGCTTATGTTGTATGCACATTCCTTGGTGGACGATTGACAGGGCGTTTGAGCCAAAGTGGCCGAAGCTCAGCTCAACGCTAAATGACTTGGTGTCAGCGTGTGTGACTTGACTGACCCTGTTGCTCGGGGGAAACCTCAACAGTAAGATTGCACGCTGACCTGTGCACTTGCATGACGCTGCACTTTATTTCTCTCATGCCTGTTGTGCGTGGTAGAAAATCAGTGGCACCTTATGATATGAAACCTCTCGCTCTCTGTACCCTCTGCGTTTTTTCTGTGCAACCTCGATATGAAAGCACTCTGGACCACGTTCCCACTCAAAGTCTTGGTGTGCATCTGCCTTTTTTTCTCTGTTATTTTGATGCAGCTGAACAATAGGTGTGCTTGCGCTGCATGCATGTTACAGAATTCCTAAATTTCTCACAGTGAAATAGAGTCACTCCTACAATTTGGGTATTTTTTCAAGTAATTTTTTAAAAAGTGCAGCAGTGATTCACTGATTATACCATAATGATAATGCTGTCTATGCCCATGACCCAACAATCCAACCAACCTTCCATATTTCCCCTTTCCTCTTTACCTCCTATTTCTTCTCTCCCTTGGTTTGCTAGTATCGCGCTCCTGGATGGCTGGGGGTATGGCTTCAGCTTCTTTCTTTTAAGTTATTCTTTACGTCTGCTCTGATGTATTCCGACTGTCGCATGTATTGAAGCTGCGCATGCAATCGCTCATCCTCAGCTGTCTGTTTCTCTGTCCTCGACTCTCAATCACTGCACCGGTCTCGGTGAAAAAAGGGAGCAAAAGCAGCACAACCCTTCTTTGCTGGCTCACAATACTGAATCAGCAGTTCTCTTTTTCACTTTTTCTCATTCTCATCCGGCCACATGTTGATGTGTGCGTGTGCGGTGCTGTCACATGTCGTCAGTGTTGAATGATTGACATGCAGCCCAGGACGTTAATCTCTGCAACGTTCATCATGCTGTGTACATGTGGGGAACATTGCACAGTAAAAGAAGGAAAAAGGTTTCACATTCAGCACGGTATTTTATCTAAGCTTAATCAGATAAGATAGTTTGACTAACTGTGTGACGCTCTGTTGTTTGATTGTTCCCTGGATCTGTCTTTTCTTTTCGTAACACTAATTCACATTATCATTTAATGAGAAACTTGAAAAGACCTGTTCATTTTAGACGGGTCAGTCAGGGGGTGTAGAGTTTGTACTTTGGTATCCGTTTTGTAATGCGTGTTGTGTCGTGGTTGCACTCACTCCAAAAACCAGGAGCCATTCCATTCTCACCATCCCTGTCACGACAATCACAAATGAACACCAGAGTGTTCTCTGATGTCGACAGTTCGCAGTCCTCTTAAGTGGAACGACGACCTCACCATCGAGAAACTTTTATAGATGGCAACCCTCGCTCTGTTTCAGGTCCTCTCAGCCAGATCAAATCCAGCCTGCTGGGTTCGACCTCCGACTCCAACCTCAACAGGTACAGCACCATCAATAAGATTCCGCTCATCACCCTCAACTTCTCTGAAGCCAACAATGAAAAGAAGTGCCCGTCTCCTCCATCGTCCGAGAAGACCATCATTGCCCCGAAAGTCAAAGACCGCACGCACAATGTCACAGACAAGGTCACGCAGGTGAGAACGCCACAATGGGTGGGAGCATTTAGTATTACATATCTGTCAGATATGTAATGCTATGCACAACTAAGTAGAGATACAGATACTTGTGTAAGACATTAATACTTTGGCAAAAGCAGATGTATTGATCCAACTCAATCTACTCAAGTAAAAAGGTAAAAATGAAGATCTGGCCCCGACTGGAATAAGGAGGAGGTGATGTTCATTATGATGTCATTTACCATGATCACAAATCAGACACGAACAGATTAATTGGTCAGCAGATTGCATCCACACCCTCATCCGTCCTCTATGTGCCTTCTAATGATTAATTGAAACTCAAGGGGTCTGATATGTTTTTAAAAAAACACCAGAGGTGTCCATCACTTGCAGGGGATAATCAAGGATACTCTTACAGCTGCCAGACACCATCCAGAGCTCAGGTCCTATTTCTAGAGTTACAGTCATAGACAGAGGTCATTGTCACCCTCCCTGCCAGCTCTGAGATGAAGTGAACAATGACTTCAAGGTAGAGTTGTCTCTGGGGTATGTCGAAGCTGCCCCAAACCACTAATTAGGTCTTGGTTTTGCATTTTACCAGTCAATGTCTAACAGATAGTTTTATGCTTTGACCTCCAGCTGAACTCAAAGACAAGTTCACCCGAAGGTCTTTGTTAGCAGCTACTGATCCATCAATGCACTATTACAGTAAAAAATTATTAATAGGAACAGATGGGAAGCTGCTAAATGCACATCTGTAGCACGTGGCAAACCACGAGAGCACAAAAGCTATTGAGATATGAATCCTGGTGTATCTTAAGAGGACATTTAAGTTGCTGTCTTTTCTAGATTATTGCTTTTACAACATGTACCGGTGACGCCCGTGCGCCATTACAGGTGGAATCTCATCTCATTTTTACACTCTTAATCCTTTCTCTGTTGTCGCTACTCTGTGGGGTGCTTCAGTATGCACAGCTTTACATTTCCTATCACCATGGTGACAGTCACTGTACAATCTGAAGGAGAAATTACCAACCAAACTTCCCTGAATCAGCGTGCCCAATCCTTCACACACATTCCGAGGCTTACGTTTGGACTGTCACTCCATTCACTTTTAATTTTTTTTAGGGGGAATCATCTCAAATATAATATGGAAAAAAGCGGATCCTTCCCAATGATACAAACCACCTAATGAACCAAAGAAGCATTAAAGGGTTTTGGTGTTGACGGAGTAAAGCTCCATGGAAAAAGTAGGGAAGTTCTTGGTTATTTGCATGTTGATGGAAGCCAGGCCAAGCACTGTGCAAAATTTCCACTGCCCCACAAGGGTGTTCTTTTGCACAAAGGTACAGTAGGTACATTAAATAATTCAAATGGGATCTTTTATTTAGAGACAGATTGGCTACAACTGTCCTTTTGCCAACCAGTTGAGCCCTCCCAGTCCTCCGAATAGGGGCATAGTGTATCCAAACAGGCAGAGCACCTTTCAAGCAGTGCAGGTTATGTTTTCTCCATCACGAATGTTGTTCACAAATGGCAGCGTAATGCAGCCCGACAGTGTCTGGCCAGGAATTTATCAACTTATGTGTTGCGCCTATTTTTCTTCTCTTTTTGGGGGGGGTATTTCGTTCTGAATCAGCTGAAACAGATATCTGAGCACAGGCTTACAGCAAACACACCTAAACTGGGACCCCGATGTAAACCAGCATTTCAAAGGCCCACTTTTCCCAAAAGGGCCATATAATTAAAAAATGAACAGCTCCATTCCCCCCTTTGTCTGTCCTTTAGGTTTCTGATCAAATTCAAAGGTTATCCCATATCAGAGGTTAATAGCACCTGACCCCGCCCACTCGCACTGAAAGAAGGACTTCCTAATAATCAATTCAGCTCACCTCTTTTGTGAAATAAATCACCTCTCTGTTCCTCAGGCCTCCCACTATTAATTGCAGGGATTATAAAGGTGACCACGGGAGCGAGATAAGCAAAAAAGCATGAATAGCTAAAAAAGTTTTTTTTTTAAAGAAATCCCTCCTGTTTCTTACTCTGGTTCACTCACACATAGAAATTGTCACTCCGTCCTTGCAGTCTTTGTGTTTTGCCTTCCTCTTACGCTCTTTGCATTGCTCCTTGGGATTTCCATAATCAGTGGTAGAAGAGTCTGCACCCGAGAATTCTAGTTATTTTAGTGCTGAACACTTGATGAATGAACGTGTCCTCTACCTGCGCCTGTAATTACCTCTGAGTCATTGAGGCTCTTATCTGAAATGGTCCATAACGCAGCAGTAAAATTGATGTTAGAAGCTATTTGAGTTTATATATGTACCTTTATATACATGTGTGTGTGTGTGTGTGTGTGTGTGACAATTGTAATAACAGAGATAATGATACTGACACTGCCTAAAACAGATGATATCTCACCACGGGGCAAAATTTTGATCTTCTATGCATGATCCTATTTCAAACAGTTCACGCCTCTTAAGATCCTTTCACTCATGGTTCTGAAGAAGCTCAATTAACCCTCTGATGCTTAGTGGCCACTACACTGAACAGCTGTTGAGAAGTTATTTTCTTCAAAGTGCAATGCTTTCTGTGGTGGAAACTGCATTTCAGCCATTAGAATCCTCTGTACTGCCCCCCTTTATGGAGGTCTATTCAGTGGTTAGTAGTTGCTGTCTTCACCTTTTGTCTGAACCAGCCTCAAACGCCAAATGCAACCAACTCGTTCCCCTTTTTTTCTCTTGAGAAATCCACCCTACCAAATCTTTAGAACACTTTTTAGGTTTTTTTGTGAAAACAGACAGAGTTCCACAGACAGATACACATACATCCCCAAATCTCCACAGGCTGTAACAGATCCTCTCAGAATGAGCTAATGAGTTCTGTGTTCTTCCGTAGGTTCTGTCTCTGGGTGCAGATGTGCTGCCCGAGTACAAACTGCAGACGCCACGTATAGATAAGTGGACCATCCTCCATTACAGCCCCTTTAAAGCAGTATGGGACTGGCTGATCCTGCTGCTGGTCATCTACACAGCTATTTTCACACCCTACTCTGCTGCCTTCCTCCTCAATGACATAGAGGAGCAGAGGAGGCGGGAGTGTGGCTACTCCTGCTCTCCGCTCAACGTGGTGGACCTGATTGTGGACATTATGTTCATCGTGGACATCCTTATAAACTTCCGGACCACTTACGTCAACGCCAACGAGGAAGTGGTTAGCCACCCTGCTAAGATTGCCATCCACTACTTTAAAGGCTGGTTCCTCATTGACATGGTGGCAGCCATCCCGTTTGACCTGCTCATCTTTGGCTCAGGATCGGATGAGGTGAGGAGTGCACTCCTATTCACAACTGCGTCTACATTTCCTTTTTTTTAGAGGAGAAATAGTTTCCCAAGTGTTACGTCATTTCTGTGTAACCACTGCAGTACTTCCAGTTGAATAGTGTTCATTTTTAGGCAGCATATGCAGAAATAAAAAAAAATTCTGCCTAAGACAAACTCATAATATACTAAATGATACAACTAAACATGGGACACAGAATATGGCTGTCGAGTTTTAGGCTTCATCAGCATATGAGCTGCATGTTTGCTGGACATTATGGTCAAATTGATACTTGGATGCAAAATGGCTCCACAGGTTTTTTTTGCACAGTGTAAAGTTTTACCATGAGATGTCAATTACATTGTATACGCTGCTTCCTTTGGGTCTCAGCGGAATGACACCTAAATCAAACGGTGAACTCCACAAACAAGGGAAAGTCAGACAGGTTCAGCGGGTGTTGCAAGCAGTGTGGACAGTAGTGGAGCACGGGGAAACAAAGGTTAGGTATTAAAAAGGAAAAAAAATGCAAACACGAAGGACAGCCTAAATAAAACTGTAACCTGACTATTCACAAATGATTGATCTGCAAAGACGGGGTGAAAAATTGAGGGAGGATGAACTGCTGGAGAGAGTTGAGGGGATCCAACTAACCCAGGCTGCTGCTGAAGAGTTGAGCTACACCCAGTAAAACATCTGGAAAAAAGTGGTCTTCAAATCATAAGATCGGTTCACCTTGAGTAATCAGAATCAGTTGTTATCGTGGAAGCCCTTAAAAATGCCATGGCAATATATCAGCAAAGCGAAGAGAGCATACTCACTTCTATCTTTGGCCGCAAAAAATCTGTCTATCCTCGCTTGCCCCCGGTTTATTATGTGGGGGTGCGGTACTGGAAGGGATGTTTCTTAGCTGATTTCTCAAAAGCCTAGACTCTTAAACCAATCTGACGCTCAGCTGTCACTTCTGCTCTCGTTCCATCTGAGCCCGAACACAGGGCTCCGGGCAGTCTCAATCGCTTAGATTTTTTTTTAAAGGGTCCAAGCCCTCCCAACAACTCTGCTCGTGTGAAAGTATTCTCCGCATGAGGGTCTGAGGGAGATCAATACGGTGAGGAACAAGAGTTCAATATCTCTGTATGAGAGCACCCAGGGAATATCACCAGCTGAAACATCAACGTATATATTGCTTATATGATTCAAGGCTTCATATTTTCAAATCGGTGCATGCAAACTGTTTTGGATGTTTTCAGCTGTAGCTTTCAAATCACAAACACTCATGAAACAGCAAATGCTTTTTCTCTGGCTATGCCAATATCAGATTCCCTCATGTTTAAATTGTACCCCGAGGCTTAGAATTAGTTAAGCATGAAGGATTTTTTTTTTAAGTTTGTTCCAGTGACTTGCTATGTGAGGATGTCGAAATAATTTAAATTAGATTTCAAAAAGGGTGGGGAGGGGGCAAACCAAAAAAGTGATCACTTTAATATGTATATACATATGTACAAATAGTTGTGGCATTAAAGAAAAGGACACCTAAAAAAGGTATAAATCAGTATTAGGCAGGCAAAGATTCAACAGTTTGATCGAATTGTTCTTTTGGGGCAGCTGGAGATTTTGAGAGTGTGCCTATCAGAAAAACTCGAGGAAACTGTTCCTATCAAATATGAAATGATCTTTCAATTGTCTGTCATGTTCTTTGACAGATGCATTTTCCTGTATTTTGTTTTGCCTCTATTATTCTCCAAAATCCCGTCAGAAAAGGTCCTCGGGGAAAGGTGGCTGTCAGCCATGCTTAAGCTTTGAAGCATGCTATATCACAAAATGGATTGGACTGGAAAAATTTGCAGCAACCAGACTTAATTAATCTTCCTCAGAACCTAGAACCTCCACATCACTTAATGAAGGAGAATGGTTGGATTCAGGCTCTTTGCGAGACAAGTGTTGACGAATGCACATGCAAGGCAGTCTCCTAAGATATCAGATTTAAGGGTGCGTGTTGAAACACAACACTTAACGCACACCCAGCGCGTCCTGCTGGCTTGCCCCAGTCTTTATTTACCATTAGGTAGGTGCTCCTCAGAGGGGGGTCTGCGGCCGGAGGCGTGCTGTGAGTGGCAGTTGGAGAGAAAAGAGCAGACAGCTGAGCAACGCCATGGCATGATGTACGTCCTCATCACACAGCTAGACGTCTCGTGCAGTGACAGAATGTGTGTTCCCGTTACAACTTGTGTCCAAGGCACACTGTCAAGATGAAGGGACTGACAAAACGGCGTATTTTTAGCTACTCCGATCCCCAGCACCGACCGAAAATAGCTTCTCCATGTACTGTTTTGGGACGTGTTGTTTTAGCTTTTTATACGCCAGCTGGAACTATTTTTAGACATAATCTAGTGCACTTTTGTTGCCTGGAAACTTTATCTGACAGCAAGTTTTTTTCTTCCTTTGGCTGGTTTCATTAGTATAGCTGCATCAGCTGAGGCCTCATGTGAGGGATTATCCCCCGGACAGTCATTGCAGGCTGGCAAATGAAAACAAAATGTGCGGTGCTGCATTTACCTACAGGAGTCATTTGAACCCCAGGTCGATTTTCATATCATGTTCCAGCCAAGAACAAATTATACCTTTTTGCATGTCAGCATGCTCAAGGTGTTCACATTACAAAACCTAAACCAGAATTAAAATCTTATTCTCCTGCAGGAAATCTGACCTGAGTTAGAATTTTTTTTTTTGCAAATTAAAAAAAAAAGTTATTTTCGGGGTTCCGTCAAATTCCCATCGGCATCCAATCTCACGGATCCACATGGATTGAATCTTCTTTATGATTTTTAAAGCAGATGCCCTGTTGCTCTGTAATACAAATCGTATTAGGCTCATTTAAATAAAGCGTTTCCTCCCCAGACTATGGCAAAATGGGCTTTGCCTTGGGCCAAACTGAACGCTCCAACCTTCTGCAGAGGAGCTTGCTGTTACTGCTTTCCAGAACAAAGACAAATGAGGAGGCAGGTTCATAATAACGGGCAGCCCCCTCAATCTCACTTTTGCCCTGTGTCTCCTTCTGTCTGCACACAGATTTGTGGTTTAAAACCATTCACCCGAACAGCGGCGAAACGGTGCATTATACATTTGCTCTTTTATCCAAGATATGGAGCGACAGGCAGAGCTGTCAGGTCGCTCGATCAGCGACTGGCAAGCAGCCCTGGTGCATGAAACGTGACCACTCGTGAGTTCTTACAGCAAATAGGCTGGCAGGACCGCTTTTGCACCAGTTGTATGTTTTTTGTCAACAGGACGTATTTAGCACAGCCAATAAAGCAGAGAGGGTGCTCGCCTCCCAAACCCAACAGGGAGTCGGTTCCACAGGGGAATAGCCTGATAGCTCAAGGATCTGCCTCCCACTCTATCTGCACAAATTCTTGGAACGGCGAGTCAACATGCAGTCGGACAGAAACACACTCTGCTAGGGATAATGAGGTCTTTAAGAAAAATGATTTAAAATGCCTGTATTTTCATGGCACTGTCACATTTCTGCTTGCTCAATATTCCCAGTAAGCCAAACCACAGTGATTTAAACCCCAGCTCCCTTTCTTTTTGGAATTCCACCCAAGAGGAACTCCCTACCTGTCTCATTTATGCCCATTTAATATCGAGGCCTGAGATGGTTCATTATGATGTTCTCTCTCATTCATGTATCAGGTTTGCTAAGCTTCCTATGGGAGGACCACCACTCCCTCCAGTAATGGAAAATTACATAGCAGGTGGAGAATTTCCATCGGTGGAACTCAAATTGCAAAAGGACTTTGGTTTCAGAAGTCACGCAGACTTTGCGAAATAACAGGATTTAGTTGAGTTATTTAATTGATTAATTAATTAGTAACTTAATTACTAGCTTTTTCAATATCAGAACACAGAGGAGAGCATAATATTCTCACAGCCATGCAGATTGCTATATCCATCAATTACTATTCCAGTCCACTATCATCAATCCTTATATATGGTTCACTTCTCCCATTCTCTGCCCCATGTAGAATTAGTTTTTAAATAAGAAAATTATTCTTTAAAAATAGTTTTCCAATGAGAATTTCCTGGCGTTTGTTTTTCTTTTTTCATCCAGCTACCCCTTCCAAAGACCACCCCCAAAGTGATTACTACAATGAATAAAGCACTCGTACATAAAACAATCATTTAAATGGCTGGTGTGGATAGAGCCATAAATTAAATTATGTAGTATCTGCTAACCAGGTAAAACTCCAGGCTGCGTAGCCTGGTGAAATCGTTCAAGAGACGCTTTGAGCTGTTAAAGACGACAGCATAGATTACATGTGCAATAGATTTAGCAGCTGAAAGCCCATTTGCTCCATTACTAGTTTTTAGACACAAAATTTGATTGTTAATTATTGATATGTTGGGGGGGGGGGTTAGAGCAAGGATTTCGATCGGAACAGAAGCGAGAGATTCCTGACTCCTGGCAGCTGGTAAGAGCCAAATGTTCCCACAAGTATAGCAGCTTAACCAAAGAGAAAAAGAAGGGACTCTTATATGTGTCCGAGCTTGGCCCGCATGAGCCCCTAAGGTTATTAGTTTTTTTTCTACCTAGCCCTCTTTGGAGTGTTGTCAATTTGCTGGAGAATGGACAGAATGAGATGTGACTTCCGTGTGGAGAGCTTGCAGTAACAAAAACTGACAGGGGGGCTGCATTCTGCAGCGCTGGAGCGCCGGACTGCAGTAAGATGAAGGGGGATGAGATGCGGAGCGTAACTCCACTCAGCAAATGATGGACTGCGTCTTCCAGATGTTCCAGAGTCATTTGAATGATTACCCCAACTGCGAGATCACGATCCATGTCTATTACTGTGCTGATAATCCTCCAGTTACAAAGACGTCTACCCGCATGTTGATTTTTCTGGACTTTGTGGTGAGACCAGGTGCTCTGGCTTTTAATTTTTTACTTATTCCCAGCTGATTTAAAAAAAAAATAAAGAAGTTGATTAGTTTTAGTATCTTTTTATGCATGTGTGGCTACTTTTTTTCCTGAACTGTACAATAGGAGGAAAAAATCCAAGATTCTTCAGAATTCTTGATTTTCAAACCAACATTGTACTGCGTGGGCAAGATCACAGCGCATGCCGTGTCATCTGTGCAGGTCACTGCGAGTCAGCTGCGCTACACCTAAGGCGGCGCACGCTCACAGATGCTCCTCACTGGATAATTTAGGACTCATCTGTTTCCATATGATTCATTCACTGTTCACTGAGTTGTCAGTGGCAGGGCGCACTGTACTGATTGCGCCAAAGTGAGTGATGGAGATGATTTGGGGGCGAGATTGGGACGACTGCCGGCTCTGTAATGGAAGCGCTCAGAAACGGCGCCTTCTCTTTCGTGACTGGGACGCACGCACCCTCATGAGTCAGCCTCTTGAAACAATAAAACCAAAAATGCTGCGTTTCAGTTTTTGCTTCAAGCATGAATTTTCTACTCTTTTTCTCCTTTAATTTGTGTCATCGTATGTCATATTTATCTGGCACTTACAAAAAAGGTGTAATTAAGTAAGGGTCGATGTGAAGAAGAGCTATTGCTGCCGGACGCTGCGGATTACTGATTTCCCCAAGGATATTAGAATAATTGCCAGGCGTGATAGGGAGTGGTTAGACCAATTAGCTCTCTTTCTGACTGTGCTTACAGAATGCATGTCACTAATAGATTGGGGCTCGTCTATTGGCTATAGAGCATCATCACCTTACCTCCCATACCCATTATTTAGCCAGACTGTATAAATCAAGAAGGAATGAAATTGACATACTCTGAATTCAACCCACAAAAAACTTTGTGTTTATTCATATAACGCAAGTGTGTCAGTGTGTTGGAGTCAGTGTGTGTGCACGCTGATTCTGCAGGGCTGCCTAAATCATGGTTTTCTGCCTAATAGCTGGCTCCGAGGCTTTGATGAGGGCTCCACGTTGCCAATATTTTTCATGCTAACACCACTATCCTCATATGCTTTATTAAAGTGTGTAATCGTCTGCCAAGAGATGAATCACCAAAATAACCCCTTCGCTCTCAGATACGCTTATTTCTCTGACATTGAGCCAGAACCATTCTGACTTTCATGATGAGCAGAGCCGCCACAGTGTAGTCAGCGTAGTAGTCCGTGGCCCGACAATGACAGACCGAGGCCTTGGAAGATCGGTGCACACCCGCGAGAATGATCCTGGGGAGCGTTGTGCATGAGTCATGTTAAGCTTTGAATCTCTGACAAACAAGCCGATCCTCCACAGAAACCCTGAGCAAACCCTTTGTTGAAAAGAGGATTGCCTGCTGAAATTTTTTATTTTTTTTTAAATCAAATATTACTCAAACTTTAGGGGCAGTTCCGCAAATAGCAGGTGAGCTGCTTTCATCTCCTATTGTTCTTTCTTTTTTTAGACCACTACCCTGATCGGTTTGCTGAAGACGGCCCGCTTGCTGCGACTGGTTCGAGTGGCCCGGAAACTGGACCGCTACTCGGAGTACGGCGCTGCCGTCCTCATGCTGCTCATGTGCATCTTCGCCCTAATTGCCCACTGGTTGGCCTGCATCTGGTACGCCATTGGCAATGTGGAGAAGCCTTACCTGGAGCATAAGATCGGTTGGCTGGACAATCTAGGAGTATCGATAGGTAGTGTGCGATTATTGTGGTTTATCATTTGAAATATACAGCCAAAATGAAAGGAAAAACAAAAAGGTAACTGGTTCATTTTGGTGCTATTTGCTACAGGGAAAAAATACAACTACAGTGACCCCAGCTCGGGCCCCTCCATCAAAGATAAGTACGTCACAGCGCTGTATTTCACCTTCAGCAGTCTGACCAGCGTGGGCTTTGGGAACGTCTCCCCCAACACCAACTCAGAGAAGATCTTTTCCATCTGTGTAATGCTGATTGGATGTGAGTGACAGCCGATCTAAGGCTGGTACATACTCCATGAGAAGCGAGTAAAGTTTTATTCTCGCATCCCTGGGCCAGAAACCGTTCTCAACTCTGGTGTAAACGAGCAGTGGAAGGCCTGTGTTAGCTTGTTTTGCCCATTTCTTCAACAACCGAGGATGGCAACGAGAAATTTACTTCCTTTCCTAAAATGTCTGTTCTGTTCAATTAAAAAATGGCTTTGTGATGCACGTTTCAGCAAGCGAAATTTCTGGTGAAATCGTCAAAACAGACTTTGACGATTGGTTTTTGCCACCTAAAGGGGAACGAAAACCAATTTGTCAGTTTCTCCGAGTATGTATAACAGCCTTTTCTGGGGGCGTAGTTTGTCTAAATCACTCACTGGCATACAGGGGGGGAAAAAGCTATCCTTTAACATGACAGACATTTACCAGGGGTTGCCTCGTCTAGTCAATTGAGAATAACTACAGATATTTTTTACGGTCCTACTTGTCAGATCTTGCAGCCTGGCATAAAATATTTGAGTTTTTTTTGCAGCTACACTAGCCAACCTAACTTCCTCTGTGTTCCCCGGTAACCTTATGGCTTCTCTTCCAGCTCTGATGTACGCCAGCATCTTTGGGAATGTTTCGGCCATCATCCAGAGGTTGTATTCAGGTACGGCCAGGTATCACCTCCAAATGCTCCGGGTCAAAGAATTCATTCGATTCCACCAGATCCCTAACCCACTGAGGCAAAGGCTGGAGGAGTATTTTCAGCACGCCTGGACGTACACCAACGGCATCGACATGAACATGGTACGAGCGAGTGCGTGCGCCAGTGTGTCTGTGAGTGTGTGCGTCTTACAAATCAGGCAATTCTTTGTTTGGAGAGTTGTTCTTCCTTGGCCTTTTTCACATCTGAAACCAAGTTGATTATCGCTGCCTGCTTTTTCCCCTCTTTCTCCTTTTTTCCAACCTCCTCTGTGTGAGTTTTTGACGTTTAGGACGCCATAACTTTTTTGCCGATACACCCTGAAAACACTCTCTCACCTCATTCGTGTGCAGCGGCCTTGCAATCAGTATGCCGTTTTTTTTTTTTTCGTTTAGTTTTTTTCATCTTTGTTGTACCGTGCGAAGTTCACAAGAAGAAGTTTAAAAAAAGGCGAAAGCCGCAGCTACTTTGGTTTACGACAGTAACTCGGCTTTGCTCATCATGATAATGCTCATGGCACTTATACGAGTTTGTCTTTTTCATGTCTGCCTCATGTCAAATGGAATGACCCCACAACTCTGGTAAGAGCAGGAGGTACATGTGCTAACTCAACAAATGTTTATTTGAATGTTCCTCAATGGTAGCACTTCATCTAGCTGTGTGTCATACTTGTAGTGGAATGCTTTGACTCATTAGTTTTTGCTTGTTTTTTGTATCTTCATTTGATTTAGTGAAAACATCAATTACGACAAGTTTAGTTTATGATAAGTAGCTGGTTTGTTACTGTTCCAAACATGCATGTCACTTGAGGGGATTTTCTTTAAAAAAAAATCCCCTTTTTCTGGCACTCAACATACAGTACAGCCACCAATATTTAAATGAGCTGTGGTGCAACATCATAGATGAATTGTCACATATCTAATCATGCATGCTGATACTAATGAACACACACGTAACACTATATTTCTCTCGCAGGCCCCCAGTTCTTGTCTATCACCGGTAGAGACTTGCATGTGGCCTGCCTCGAGGTTCCTTTTGCATGCAAACTGTGTATTCAAACGCAAACCCCGTGATATTCATCTGCTACCAGAGACGGAGTGAGTCACGCCTCTGAGAGTGGGCACAGCCTTTCCGAGCGCTGCCAGCCTTACCTCCCACTGTGCGAGGCTCGGCCACATGCTCGGCTGTGGCACCTGCGCTTGCCAAATGTTGTTCAGTCTTCCCTTTTCAAATCTTTTTTTATTTTTTTTGTTATCTGCTACAAAAGGGAAAAAAGCGGGTCATGAGACTTGCGTCTGAGACTGGTTTAGGTTTATTCCCTCTGCACTGATTGAGTAATTTGCACATCATATTTTGGGGGGTTGGGGGTTTGACAAAATGCAAGAAATGTGTTTTGTTGTGTCGACCTTTCTGATGTGTCGTTGAACCTTCTTTTTGTCCTTCCTGTGTCTCAAAATAAGACTTTTATTTGCAGTCAGTTCAAGCTGTCCAGGAGTCATTAGTTGTTGTCAGTGTGCTGTGTATTTTTGTCTTTACAATGGTAAGTCTGTTATTATCTTGTTTATCTGTGTCAATGAGTCTTTACAAACAATGAATATTTGATATTAAATTTTAAAATACCTTGTAAGAAATCTCCTAGGCTGCCTTCAAGGCCTGAAAAGCTATAGTGTCAATATTCGTAGTTCTGTGGTATAAGCTTTTTGTTTTTTCTTTCGTAAAGACTATTTTGGATGGACTATATTAGGAATATTTTGGTTTTGAGGAAGGTTTTTAATGTAGATACTTTCTGGTGCGATTTTTGTTATATTTGTCTTTTTTGGTCTTTCACGTAGCAGTTGTTTGTTCACAGAATAGTTTCATCCAGGCAGTGCAAATATGTGAAATTGTCCCAAACAGTCTATATAACCAGTTATTTTGTTTGTTTGTTTTTATTCTTCATCTGAAAACTCTTAGTTCCTAAATGTTCCGTCTTGTCTCCCACCAAAAGCAGCTCAAATGCTCCTAAAATTCTAAATTGGACCTCGTTGCAGAAAGACGGGGTCGTTCACGCTCTAGGGTGCAGTAAGTTTTGAGAAGAAGGAAAGAACACAAGTGGCAATTGTCTTAAATCTCTCTGGAAAGCCCATTTATTCGGCACAGCAGACCAAAAGACCATTGAGAACGCACCTTAGCCACGATCGTACACGCTCATAGCACCACTGTGCTCACATACCATTTGAACTGTATTTCTTTCTCAGGTCCTAAAGGGTTTCCCGGAGTGTCTGCAGGCTGATATTTGCCTCCACCTGAACAAGAGCCTCCTCCAGGAGTGCAAGGCATTCCGTGGAGCCACCAAGGGCTGCCTTAGGGCCCTGGCCATGAGGTTCAAAACAACCCACGCCCCTCCCGGAGACACGCTCGTCCACAGCGGGGACGTACTCACAGCACTCTACTTTGTGTCCCGTGGTTCCATCGAAATCCTCAAAGAAGACATTGTAGTGGCCATCCTCGGTGAGTCCATGCCTACAAAGCCTACACATCCACATCAAAGCTGTCCATCTCTTTCAAATATGTCAGACGAGTTTTTGCAAGCACACGATGCCTCCTCCAAGAAATAGGAGAGGCAAAAAACAAAAAGCAACTATTGCCTGCCAGATAAATGTCTGAAGTCGCAGGACCTGACCAACTCTGATTAAAGTGCAACTTATATTAAGAAAAATACAGAATGGATGGGGGACTGTATTTGGAGAAATATACAGAACCAGAAGCAGTGTTCAAAGTTATGGAGCGACTCTCCCACGTTTTGCTACAGGACCTCTCAAGATCCGATGCATCGATCTGTACTTCTGACACGGGCCTGGTTGAAAATAAAATCCTCCTTTGTTTGACTAAGCCTGTATAAGCAGAGTCTTTTCCCGGAGCATTATCACATCAGCAGTTTTGAGGGCGACCAAACCAACAGTACACCTCAAAAGCCTAATGCAACGCGGAGAGGACTGTGATGTTACACATCACACAGGAGGTCAGAGATCTCCTGGTATCACGTGTTTCCTGCCTCCAGCTGACTGTGCGTGATGCGGCCTGCTAGTTTATTCCCATGTAGGGCGGAGGACTGGCATCTGATAACAAGTGGCGACTCGAAACACAAGTGGAAACAGATTGTAATACCAGCTGTAAGCCGACGCGCTTTACAGCTGTCCGCCTGTGATCGGATCACCCGGGGCGGGTGTCGGCGCCAGGTGGAAACAGCCTCTTTGTCCTACTTGTTTTTTTGTCTTTTTTAATGCTTTGATTTACGGCTCTGTTGGTGTTACCGACTTTGACTTTCACCATCTCTTTTCGCTTTGCTGGAACACCACTGCAGCTTCGCCTCGCGTTATCTCACCAGGCCCAAGAGGAGGGTGGCAGACAATGTGTGTGTGGACAGCAACTGACAGTCGCAACTTAGAATGCCTTTAAATGAGGGCTGGAGCTTTAGCAGCAGCAGCAAACGGACAGGAAGGCATTCCCTGTCATCCCAAACCCGTTATCATAGTCTAATCTACCCCCCCAACAGAGGCAGTGCTATGGCAGACACCCTGCATAAGCTGGCCTGCTGGGTAGAACCAGCCAATCGTGAATACCTGCACGGCTGGGCTGTAAAGCCAATTTCCATGTTCTCTAAGGAACAGATTACTAGAATAAGGAGTTCTTAATCTAAAATTCACTAAAACGGCAACACGTTTCCAGTATGCAAAAATAGTGGGAGTGTTTGTAACCTGATGATATTTTAGAGCTCATTACTTATACAAGACACATTGAAGGAGAAAGCTGTTTTATATACTTCTGAGTGGACCGAAAAATAAATTAAACGAAATCCCCTCGTTCAAGAAAGATTCAGCCCCTTTTGGAAGCAAGTTCTTCCTTTTCTAATGCTCGATTACAATATGCTGCATTTAGTTACTTTCATGGGCTTTCGACACGATTGTTGGCTGCAAACTTCCCTCGCAGTGAGATTTAATTGTACTTAACTAGATTTAAGAATCAAAGTCTTTGATGAACTGAAAGCAGTTATTTTATGGTAGCATTTGCTTTTCTGTTTGTACCCAAGGTAAGAATGACATCTTTGGCGAGCTGATCCACGTGTTCGCCAAACCGGGGAAGTCCTGCGCGGACGTGCGAGCACTGAGCTACTGTGACCTGCACACCATTCAAAGGGAGGAGATTCTGGAAGTGCTGGACATGTATCCAGAGTTTTCCGATCACTTCCTGGCGAACCTGGAGCTGACCTTTGATCTCAGAGATGAAAACGCAAAGGTTAGATCGGCATCAAGGTGCCAAGGCCGCCGTCGCCGCCTCCTCCCGCATGCGATTATCCTGATCAAAGAGGCGCCAAAGTGGACCGGAGGGGGCTTTTATGTGAACAAAAAAAAAAACAGTCTTGCTAATTGTGCTTTACTTTCCGATGGTAAAAGCTTCCAGCAAAGAATTAAAGAGCCTTTTCCTTGTCACGTCTCCACCATGTCTATAGTCAATTATTGATTTTCTTATGTCATTCATTTCCGTGCCTTCTTAAAGTAAATCCTTTTAATTTAATTCACTAATGGATTTGAAATGAAAGAACGCTAACCGATGCAGTGATTCTTCTCTTAATGTGCCATTTACGGGAGGGTGGCTGTGACACAGGGCATTAGTTAGGCATTAAATGTGGACATTACAGACAGGTGATACACAGCATCCGGCAAGCGTGGTGGATTGAATAAAAGAGCGGCTATATGTGGAAATAAATCCGCATCAGCCTTGTTTTATTTAGAGTAAGGATTGCACTCTGCACCAGCCTTAAGTTATTTATTGGGAGATTCGGAAAGAAGACGGGGTCGGAGAGGAGACTGGACACATGAGACATATGGTATGATCACACTGAAAACAGGAGAGACAAGCTGGCCCAACAAGCAAAGTTTGTGGTGCTTAGTTTAGAGTTTAGAACAGCAGAGGTAACTGGAGGTGCCGCAGCAAGAGTACTCACATCAGTCCGCTCTCGTATTTTCTTTCTCTTCTTTGCAGATGACTTACCCGAAAGCGAGCGATGTGGACGACATCAAGAGCCGAAGGAGGATTTCATACCGGAGGAAGTCCTCAACAGGTCAGCTTGAGACACACCAGCTCTCCAATTAAAGCGAAGTCCTTAAAAAAAAATTTTAAAAAAGGAAAAAACATTAATTGGCAGAATAATTCAGTTCCATACGACTATGACCATTCTCAAACATAACACCTTGAAATCAGCCAACCCTGCTTCATGCTAATGAACAGAATTGGTACAGCAGAGTCCAAAACATTCCTCTTTTAGGCTCAGAGTGATAAAGAAAGGCATGTGTGACACTACCCTGTACTGGTAGGTAGGCGTGACAAAGCACCTCCGGTCTCTCGCCCCAGACCCAACTGAAATCTGCTCAGGCCCACCTAGAGGTCAAAACGGAACCAACACCACAGCTGCCAAGTGCTGGCACCACACAGAGTTGGCTTCTTTAAACCCAAGGGATGGCGACTGTTGACCAATCTAAAGGACGGAGTTCTTCCTCTCCCTTAGTCCGTGTGCCAAAATGAACTTAGTCAAGATAGAGAATCCCACACAGCTCCCTGATGTGTTTGTACCAAAGCCAGCATCATATCGGTGCCTTTACCCCCAATTGGCCCCTCTAGTGAGTGTATCTGACGAAGGCAGGGAAGAGCAACAGAGGCCTTTGTGCTCCGTTGCTCTGGGAAACCACTGCAGGAAGCTGGGGCATGTGCTCGCAGTGCGCTGTGAATGTGCACGAATGGGCGAACGCAACGTGGCCTGCTCAATCTTTGGAAAACGCAGTTTGCCCTTCAATTTGTTTGTGGTTACGAAGCGTTTTCTACACCAGTCCTGTTTTATCCCAGACACCGTGGACACCAACCCCCCCTTCCATGTGGACCTGTGCACTCAAGTTAGGTGATCCCTCTTGAGCTCACTACCTCCGAGGGTAAACACTGCACCCTCCCTGCCCTCAGACAGCAGGGGGACCTTTCAGGAGACGGCACAGGGGACTTTTGAGGGGTGGAGAGAGCCACGCCACGGGAGCTGTTGTGATTCCACTTCTAACAGTCTGAGGCTTGGTACCCGGGAGATGGAACCCCCTCGCAGCAGCGCTTGGCATTTTGGCTTAAATCCAGGCAAATGCAATTGGTCGCCATAGTTACAAGCTGTGTGACCACAGCGTTTACCCTCTCCCGACAGAAGGGAGGCCAGAGGATGTAGCTCAGAGACTATTTCAGAGTCTTCACTTCACATGTTTGATTGATTCTCTGTTGCGTGAAATGACACGTTTCCCTACAGTTTCTTTAACAGACTTTGTCCTTGCTTAAACCTCAAAGGCAAAGCACTATCTGTTTTCAAAAGATGAGACTAGCCTGACATCCCCCAGAGTCAGTGGAGACGCCTCTGTTTCTTTCCCCCCAGTAGGTTTGCTGACTGCCGTTTCTCCCCACAGGCTCCCACAGCAAAGCGGTGGCCACTTTCAGCAGCGCCCAGCAGGGCAGGCCTGCCTACGCCTCCTCCACTGCCGAAGAGAGAAGAGAATCCGCCGAGGAGGCAGAGGATGAGGAGGACGAGGAAGAGGAGGAAGGCAGGGAAGAGGAAGAGGAACAAAGGCCCTTGTGCTCTGGTGTGCTGGGTTACCCGGTGGTTAGAGACCACGCCTTGGGCCTGGGGCTGAGCAGCACTCCAGAGATGCAGGCTGGAGACAGCACGCAAAGCCAAGAGTACAAAGGTGACAGAATCCCCTCGGGTCTTCCCTTCTTTTGCTCTTACCTGGCTGGATTTACTCTGTTAGTCAAAATTAGTTTTTTCTTTAAGATACCCACGTTCATAAATAACCATCTGCAAATTTGCCTTGTGAGGTTTTATTTCATAATTGAGAGTTGCTTTGATATTGATTTAACAGAGGATTGTCCCATTTTATGAAAAAAAAAAAAAGCCAAAAAACAAGCCAACTCCATGGGTCATGTGTCAGTATGATGAAGTTTAAACAATCTCAGTAATGAAATGTATAAAACATAAGAAGATTCCATTGGGCTGCCAGCTTGAGATCACCCCTCTTTTTGATTTCATGTTAGAACCACACCAGGGATCCACTTTAAACAGAAGTAACATTACCTTAACAGCCACATACAGACACACAAACATCTAGTGTAGGGGCAGCTTCCACAGAACAACCTCCGTTGGGATCCTTTTACCAACTCCCTGCTGCTGCATGTGGAGCAAACACACCACGATGTGTCTGCAGCTTTACCTTATGTGACCTGTCTGCAAAGGCAGCTGTGCCGTCACCTTAAATCCCCCGCAAAACCACTCAGTGTGAACAAAGGTCTCGCTCACCTGCTGCAACTCACTCCGAGTGAGGTGAGAAAACAATGTCAGAGGGTACCTTTGCCCGCTCTATCTCTCCCATTCAGCTGTTGCAGCAGTCAAACCGTCTTTGGCAAAGCACGGAGCAGTGGTATTGATCAGCGAGCTCAGCTCGGTGAGAGACAAGCAGATTCGGAGCGTGTGTTTAAACGCCATCTATTCATTTCTGAACCCAAAAGGAAGGGAGGAAATATCCCACTGAGGGCATGATTGGCAATCGGGGTCAGGAGTGTGCTTTAGAATAGATGCTGGGATACAGGAGGTGGTGAGCTGCCACAGGAAGATGCTTCCCCCAGAGACACTGCTCTAATAATAACACAGATCATTTTGTCCCTTGTGTGTGGGTGTGTGTGTGTGTGTGTGTGTGTTTGCACGTTTGCACACACGCGTCTCACCCTCCAGATCTCCAAGCTGAAAACTGGGTCCGTCAGCATCCCGGCGGGGGTGCCGAAGAGCCGGCCCGCTGTCAGGAAGCGCCTGCGGCGGAGGAGGACAGCGACACGGACCTCACCTACGGAGAGGTGGAGCAGCGGCTGGACATGCTGCAGCAGCACCTCAACAGGTGTGCGGGGGGGCAAAGAGGGCCCGGGAGGTTCTGGAAAAGGGCACAAGCACCAAACGGCGGCGTTGAAATGCATACGTTGTCAAGATTGTTTGTTTTTCTGGGCTCTTTAATCCAAAAAAATCTAATCTTTTTGCGGGCGTGAGGTGTTTGATCTCTGGACAACTGAAGGCGACCCCAAATATTCAGGTTTTTTTTTTCTCCCCATCAGCTTCATTCACAGCTCGCAGTGCGAGCCTCATAATTCTGCTGGTTAATGCCTGAAGACTCGCGGAGACGTTTGAGGCCAGACTCCCGCTGCAGCAGTGTTAACGCACCATGAGAGAGCGTGCGTGGTTCTTGGCTGGTGCGCGGATACAGATGAGGGGGAGGGCAGACAGTCAGCGGCTGTCTATTTATAGCTCAGAGCCACGAGGTGCAGACACATTGCAAAGACTTTTGACGTCACCCTGAAAGGTTTTTTTTGCAATTTGGTGGCGCAGATGCACGTTTTAGGGGAATTGGAATGCATTATTACACTCAATTATAACAATGCTTTCGAGTTATACCAGTACTCTGCACTGTTACGCCTTTGATTTCTAAGTGGAAATGCCAAAAAGTCCTCATTGACAGCTATTTCTGCAGCTATGGATGAGCATATTCCACAAATGGAATTAATTTGTCCACTAGATTAAAAAAAAAAAGTTGAAAAGATGATTTACCCTCTGGTGCCACACAGAAACTTTAAAGAAAATATTAAATCATGACTATTTACGGATGTATTTCTGAAAATCTGCCCATAAAAAAAGAAAGGAAAAACCCTAGCAGGGGCAGTTCTCATGACTTTAAAGTTAAAACTCCATTACAGGGCATCAGAATTCTTGAAAAGCCTGGTGGCTCTTCATTTTAGAGGCACAAAGCTCCCAGGATACTACACCAACTGTATACATCAGCCCATATGAAGCTTTGTGTCTCCCCCTGGTGTTTTATGTTCACGCTTACACCTAGCCGACATTGGATTACACATCATGCGTAATATCCTCATCGATTTGCTTCAACTCGTGTTTTTTGTTTCCAAGAACAGTGGAGGAAAAATTAGATGGCTCATCGCATTTGCTCCAGCGGTCAGGCAAATGTTCCCTTGATAATTACAGGCTGAGAATAGATCACTGCTGCAGGGGAGGAGAGCAGAACAGCAGCAGAGCAGAGAGGCAGCTGAAACCCCACCAACAATAAATAACCTGCTGATGAACTGCACTGATATGACACTGGCGATATTTAGTGGGAGCATTTTAATCATCGGTGGGCTTTTAACTGTTTTTAATCACAACTGTTCCAGGAAGCAGCCCCTTTTGCAAAAAGGAAATCCGCATTGATTAAAGGCGCTTCAGCAACTAGGCAATCAAGCCAAAGCTCATTATGACTTTCAGGAAGTCAACTCTCATTCAATTTGTGTCTCTCACCTTCATATTTTGTTGATAGACTGGAGTCCCAAATGACAGCAGACATCCATGCCATCCTGCAGCTCCTCCAGAGGCAGACTGTAGCCGGTCCCCCTGCATACAGCGCCGTCACCTCCAGCCCTGAGTATCAGGGCCCAGCCATCAGGATCCAGCCAGTGTCAGCCCTCCAAACAGATCTCAGCCTGAAGCCTGCTCCACCTCAGCTGCAGGTGCAAGAAAAAGTATTATTCACTGCAGACAATGATGGCGATCCACAAGGCCGTCAAACAGTGCACGCATTCTACTCAATATAGCACACTTATAGCCCTGTGCTGCGAGCACACTGATCCATACTCTAAATATGTTCGGTATAAATAAAGCTACATCACTTTGAATACAGCCCAGTGATACAAGCTACGTGCATCTCCCACAGGTCCAAGGCTCGGAGGGTTCTCCCATCAAATCCAAAGAAACTTCCCCAGTCCTCCTCTGCACAGAGACTCTCCCTGAAGGGGACTTTGCAGAACTGCTCGAGAGCGACGGCAACTCAGAGCAGAGACACACAGCTAACGGCGAGGGCTCAGCAGAGCAGCACAACCAACCAATCCCGAGGTTCCCGTCAGGTCGACAAGCCTCTCTACCCGACGTCCCCAACAGCTCAGGGATGTTGGGACTCCACAGGCCAGTGTCTGACCCTGGGCTTCCAGGAAAGTAGGCCCTTAACCCCTAACCCTTCTACAATGACTGAAGATCTTCTCTCAAGCTTGACTCAGGGTCTAAGAAAGAGACTGAATATGCAAAGGATAAAAAAAAACTGTAGACTTTCTTCCATTCCTTTTGAGAACATCTACCAGTCCCAATGTTCCCTAAGCTCGGATTTAGATGTATAAATTCCATTTATACTGAGGTATTTCTACACTATGTTAGTAAAACATGTAAAGTCTTCAGCTAGATCATGTACATAGTTCCAATAGAACACTGCCAGCAACACAGGGCACCTGATGTGCTCATTCTGAAAGATATGCATGATTTTTGCTCTCATGTCCTCTGTTGCATGTTCCTCACACACGCTGCAACTCACAAGGCATTATGACGCGACTGGGATGCTCAAAGACTATTGTAGCTTCCGAGTCTCCCTTTTCTACAACTCTTGCTTGTAAATGGGGAGGAAAGCTACTTGAAACTCCTTTTGAGGCATTTCTATTTTCCTCTCCAGCAGCTCCAAAACAACACATCAAAGCCGACAAAAGCTCACGAGGAGATCCTTATCTGTGTTTAGCGTGCCTACTGTCCACCGCATTTGCCACAACCGATGATACAACCGCTTCTGATTCAGCTTATGGTACAAACAAAGTCTAGTTACGCATGAGGAGATTGTGTGGACATCTCACAGCACAATGACAACTTTTGTAGGACTTTGAAAAGCAATAATGGTGGGCCAGTGCCAAAAACACACTGGATCATGTTGCATTTGCAGTCTCAAATGTTCTGGAAATATCTAAATATGAGCTGAACACAGATAAAGAGCAGCTCTTAACAGCACTTAACATTATAGATTGATTTGCTTAACTTCATATCAGTTAAACACACCGTATGCGAAACACACAATAATAGTAGACAACTGATTTTGTAGATTTAGAATACACGAGTATAAATTCCATTTTAACTACTTATATCACAACACTGTCGAACTGGAACATTTGCATCAAAGCTGTTTGCACAACAGTTGTTTCTGTGGGACTGATTGTGGAGCAGTGTTTCTGAATATTTCTGTGTGGCTTGTAGAAATGAGAAAATCTGATGGGTAAAAAAAATAAAATAAATCATTTAACTCATCAGGATTTTTTGTTAGGGGGTTAGTGTAATCTAACAACAATTGCTCTTTTTTACTTGAGCTGTATCAAAACAACATCTTTTCTGTCACTAAATTGACCCTCTGGTAATTAAAATGCAGTTTAGTTTAGAGTTTAGCTGGCCGAAAATAACCAACTGCACAGGTTTCTGGACCAGGAATTATTTTCAAAGATTAGTGTGCAGTTAGTACTGACATCTAGCAGTCAAGTTGAAGATGGCAACCATTTAAACTCTTGTGCACTTGCCATTGGGGACAAACACTAACAGTAGTATCAAACCCATAATACTGTTTCTTCATTACCACTTTCTGTATAAAGTCATCACTGGACCAGAAATTGCTTTGACCAATTAATTTGACAAAATATTCATTCCAAAATTGTATTTTAAATACTTTAAATAGAATCACCAACAGTGGACAAATTTGTGAAACGGTGACCCTGCATTTAATTTATTATTTATATCCATTTTAAGGCCGTATAAACCCATCACACACCTGATTGGTAGCCTCCCATCAGTCAGCCAATAGTGTGTCGTGTAGGATCCCAAGTGGGCCAACTCTGCGGGCCTAGCTACGTTTTCCATTGGTGACTTTTAGTCCAATCCTGCTGTAAACTACACATTTTGTTTCGATTTGATATTATTTTATTGTTTTAATCATATAAACAATATAGATATCGGATAGAAAATATTTATCTTAGCACAAAAACATTTATTTTTTAAATACCTACATACCGAAATTTCCCGCGTTATAGGGAAAATCCCGTGATACAGTGTGGCTGCAATATGGCTAGGGACTACTGTAAACTTTTCGTACCCATCATATTTTCTCATGTTCTTTCAAAGATTTTTTTTCATTCAATTAAGTACATGTCATAAGAAAAAAGCCACCGAAACTGTCTTGATATAAAACTCTTTTTTGTCGATAAAACCCAGACTGCCGGTTAATGTTTTTTTGCTCCATTGCATGCTTTACTGGAAGTCTTCCATTCTATTTCTAAATTGTACAGCTTCCTTCGTAAAGAAACGTCGCGAAAAAGCACCGTCAGAAGAATAGAAAAAAATTAAATTCATTTTTAAAAGCGCAAGAAAACGTTGGTATCTGTCTTAGGTTGAGACATAGAGACAGTTCAGCCTTCACCAGCCTTAGCTTTACTCACCTGCTCAAGCCTTTACACTCGACATCCGTTCAGCGAAAAGAAAATGTCATAGTTCCACTCAACCATTTTAAACAGAACTGCATGTCAAAACTACGTAGTGTACTTTTAGTTTCCTATCTGCATAAACTCTAGTAGGAGCTCATGTATTGCATGGAGAGACTGCACTCGACATTATAATTAAAGGGTCTCAATCAGCTGTGTGACACAAATTGATATGTAACACAGAGCACGTGACACGTCCACAGGCAATCTCACACCTGACAGACCTATTTTTCTAAAAAACAAAATATTTAATTTGCCATTATTTTTCTATGCATATTTTCTTTTTTCTTTTTCTTTTTTAGCCTGCTGTTTGAATGCTGTGGTTTGCTGGAAAGGATGATGGTGATGATGATGGTGATAGGTGCAAAGCACAGCGTCTCAATGTAGCAAGCGGGACGTGAAGCAGGCATCTCTGCATGTTGTCACATTATACTGTATGCGGTTTGAGTAGCTTGGAATAGTTTAATATTGCACATTGATTTTCATGTCATCTACAGCGACGTTCCCCTTTAGACTTTTTCAGCATGTTGATACAGGAGAGAGGCCCCACTTCCACACCTGTACTCCAAAAAGGGTTGGGAAGAACTCAAAGAGATGGGGATATTTCAGTTGGATGCAAGGGGGCGGAGGGGGGGGGGGCAATAATTGAGAGAAAAACAGGGATGAGACATTGTGGAAACCAGAAAGCCAGCTCCCTTCTATGAGCGATCAACTGTCTTATTCCAAGTGGAGAACAAAAGTTGTTTAGGCGTAAACTCGACGTGTCCAGGGTTCGTCGGCTGAACTTTCACGGGCTTTGCAAACCTTTGCACAGAGATAAGAAAACTTGCTGTACTGGATCGATCACTTTCTTAAATCTAGTGCTGTTCACAATTGTTTTTATGCATTTTTTTAAGCGTTTGCCACTGTATTTTATACAATGCAACAACACTTAAAAAACAGCTGATTTGAATGTTTCTGTTCCGAACTATATTTAAAGAAATAAAGTATATTGTGTAAATAGAATGAGGGATAATGTGCAGTTGTGTAAATGAATAAACAAAACGCATACTGGTTTAAAAAAATATGTGTTTATTGTGACTAAGAAAAAAGAATCAACATGGTGGGGGGGTGGGGGTTAAAGTGAAGAACAATGGCTGTATTTGTGGTGATATTTTCAAAGAAGAAGAAGAAATATGCTTACAGCTTACATTGACTTTGGCTTGTTAGCATGTGAAACACTAAGCTATTGTAAAAAAAAACATCTGTTCTACATGTTATGGAACAGACAATTATCACATCTAAATTAAGAACAATGTTTGTAAATGTTACTACATTCAATCTTGACATATTTAATATCAAAATATGGCTTGATTATGATGGACCATATATTCAGAGGTTATAATGGCACTATAGTCTTGAGTATACAGATATCTTCCCGTTTATGATGTACAGCCCAAAATGGCCACTTTGCTGAGACTGCTATTTTTTTCCCTGTTTCTTAGCCTGAACCATTTAAACATTTTTTTTTAATCATTCAGTCTTTTCATAGGATATGTCTTTTTTTTATCATGAAAGAAATCCTTTTCATAATGGCTTAACAAGTCATTTTTTCTCCTAATGTGGACACATCCTGTTTAAATATTCAAGCGTGGCCCTTTTCAATTTTCAGCACGTCTTGAAACTCAAGAAGAAAAAAGAAAAAAACCTTACGAGAAGCATCATGAGCATGTTTACGGTCACTCTAACATACTGGCCTCTCCCCCCTTGCATTTCTGTGAGGCACTGATTAAAAAAAATAAAAATAAAAACAGTCATTGGCTGAGACGAGCTCCTCTGTCCCTTAGATGGCCATAGTGCTCAGGATAAACTGTAGATTGAAAGTGTAGATCAATTACATTAGTGATATACACACACACACACACACACACACACACGACTTATAAATCCTGTACATGGCGGAAAGCAAAAGAGTAAAAAGAGATCTTTTTAAACAAAACAAAAAATATATAATTTTGCAGAACCGAAAGAGCGGACCAAACAAATTAAAAAAAGACTTACGTCATCATATTGGAATGTGACAGATCCCTGTTGCATGGTGTCTCTCCGTCTAAAGCTCTCTTTAACAGAAAGAGCAAGCAGTGATTAAAAAGATCCACAAAAGGATTTTTTTTATGGGATGTAGAGAAGCTGGGAGCGGCTGTCTATACCCGTTAGGCCTCGCAGCCTGACGCAGCACGCCACGTAGTCGTCAAAGTAGATCCTGCCCCCTTTGTTGTAGCGCTTTATGATTGCGTTCAGGGTCTGGGGGCTGACGCGGTAGCCTGACAGCATTGTGGGAGGGCGAAAAACAGTAAGTGGGAAACCTTGTTGTTTGAGTTTTTGAGTGTTTCTGACAGGACAAGTGTTAAGCTGAAGTTAAGCCAATTAATGGCCCGAAAATACAAAAAAAAAATTGTTATGATCTACATATCGGACTTTAGCGTGGATATAATATGAAGAGTGACAGAGGTTCACTCCCACAGCACCACGGTGATGAACGGAGGGGCCAGCCAGCACATCAAATTATTACTGACCGCTATTAGGTTTAATTATCACTCATTAAACCCTCCAGCTATCATTAAGTGTGCTATCAGGAGCCATTAGGCATCCATCGTGATGAAATCCTACGATCCTCACCCATGGAATTGATCGCCTGACTCATTTCATGAGGCTCCACTGTTCCACTCCGGTCCTGGTCGAACATCATGAAGTTCTGTTTCCAGCCGTTCAGAGCGACGAACAGATCCTTGAACTCATTGAAGCCCATCTTCCCTGTAAAGTCCCTCTGGCAACAGTAAGGTTAAGCTTTGATAAACTCTGATCAACTGAAAGGAAAAGCAGCATCCTCGCCAGTTGTAAAAATAAAATGTAAAGGAAAAGGGGGAAAGGGGGCCACGCCCTTTTTTTAAACCCAGTGTGAGAAGAGTATGGCTTTTGAGGCTCTCTGACAGAAGGATACGTCGAGCATCCCAATCATGATCCTGCATGTTTCCAGGCTGAAGGCTGGCAAACACAATAAAAAAAACACATGTCAAGAATTAGATGAGACCATACTTTCGTTTCACTGGCATTTTCCTGTTAATAATAAATCTGCCCCCGTCTGGCCTGTTGTGAGAAAGCTGCAACTCTGTCAAAAGGTCATCATGTGACTTTTTTCTGAATTCCATTTTGTAACAATGGGTCTGGCTGCTCTTCTATTAACAGTATTATTCAAACTTGTTCCTCTATCCTATATAAAAACATAGGACCAACGAAAATGCTTTTGGAATACAGGGAAAACCACTCAGCAGAGGATCCTGTGCAGAGGGGAAGCCATCGAGTGCTACAATAGACCACATAAGTCCTGTCAGTTTCCCATTGCTACTTTAAGGATAGCCTTTAAAAAGGGAAACTTTACAATTACGGAGAACTGAGGTGACCAGACCAAACCGTTACAGAACTGTCAAACTGTATTGTCCTCTCATTCAGTGTTGCAGATGGAAAGACAGTTAGCTTACGCGTGTAGCTGCCGGTGAAACCGGCTTGCGTCAGACACCTCTGAAGCTCCTCTGCGTCGATTTCTCCGTCCTGCATGGACAGAATGTAATGTGGGATTCTCAAAAGAAAATATAATGCTCTGAAGAGATTGGCTGACTGGTCATCTGCAGATTTAAGGAAAAAATAGGCTCTTCGAGTTAGCATTTGAGAGTGATCCTGTGTGTGCTGAGCGACGGTTAAAAAGTTTTCATTTGATCGGGCCGTAAAAACCCAGGTTATAAAAGAGCCACGAGGAGCTGAGCATTCTTCACCTGAAGTGGACTGCGATATACCTGCACAGAGAGCTTTTCTTACACAGGCCCAGGCTTGCAAGGGGAAGGCATGTAGTTCCAAGAAACAAGGGGCTAAGAGGGTTGTTGTTCTTTTGCTTTTTTCCATAGAAATTTACAAAATCAGAAGTTGGAATACATCCACAGTACCTGGCCAGCTATAGCTGTGAAGTAACCCCACATTGGGTCATTGGCAGCTGGGGGCGGGGCACCGAATGCACCTGGATAACTTCCCCCATAAGCGGCGTAGCCTCCCTGTGGCGGTGGGCCCCCCATCGGCCCACCCATATGTCCAGCCATAGGGCCGCCCATGTGTCCACCTGGCATTCCTTGGGGTGGCATTCCCTGAGCTGGCATGCCTGGCATCTGGCCACCATACTGAGAAGAGAAGTGGATCAGAATGGAGGGAGACAACAAAAAAAGCTGCTCAACTTTCAAGAAGAATGAACCGCAGAAAGTATGTGAACATAGGACATGTGGTAAAAAGCAGGCATCTTCAGCAGAAACGTAGTAAAAGTTTCTTTAAGGACAGGAGTTTTCTACAGATACAGTATTCAGGAAAGCATAGTGAGTCAAATATAGAAACATACACATGTTGAGCCGACATGTTGCAAGGTTATTTTTAGACTAACATCGGCGCCTTTCTTTCCGGAACAGAGCTTTTGTGCTAAAGGTGATCACGTCAGTATAGCTCTCTATAATGATGACGGCTTGCGGAAGTCATTTTTCTGACTTATTCCAACTCCAACGGGTTATAGCAATTAACCGTCTGGATTTCATCTTAATCGATAGAAGCGGTATTTTATTACTGTTAGATGATTTACTAAACTACTGTGTCGTGACTGGTGAGGAAGTATTCATTTACTTTATATACAGCTAATATATTAGTGTTTTTCTAATTCTAGCTCATGTAGCAAATGTGACATCCTAAGCTAGCCACAACACACTTTTCACTCACCCCTCCGTATCCTGGGTAAGCCATTCGCTTAAACTATGTGACTTCTTTCAAGTTTAAAAATCTTTTAAACGTAATGTTAGCGATACGTTTGACTGCCCACGCAGAAGATTCTGACTTCCGATATGTCCAAGCAACTTTGCTACATCACATCCGAGCGGAGAAAAGCTGCGCCGGAAGTGCACTGATTGGTAGCACAGTTAGCCAATAGGTGACGATTCCGCCAATAAAGCCCGCCTACTTGCTTTTTTTTTGTTGTTTAAAGTTTAAACACAATAAAAATGAAGAAAAGCCGTAAAAGTCTTTGAATCTCACATAAATGTGACATTGAAGGCACAAATATACATTCTATCAGAGAAATTAATTATTGGTATTTATATTTTGATGATAGGACTCCCTTTCTCAATTCTACTAGCCTTTAGACTTCATTCAACTGTCACTCCTGATATTGAAATCGTACATATAGGTTACACCTGACTGAATTGATTACCATTTTTCTTAAAAGTAGACTTATTTCTCCAGTAGGTGGAGCTGTGGAAAGCGTGTTAGGATGTCACAAACAACACTTCAAATGTAATTCATTTCTTCTATGTGAGTTGATGCTACATAAACCTGTAAGTGCAGGTTATTAGGCAGTATGTACGGACAAATAAGGACCTTTAGGCATAATGGAGTCAGAAAATAATGTTATAAATACATATACAAATACATTTTCCAAAACAATTACTGGGGATGACAGAAAAGTAGCAGAACATACAATTATGGTTATGACTTAATCAATCTTATTGTAATAATGGTCCATTTTTAATCAAAGGGAAAAGTTTAAATGACTGAGGTATACTGAGAAAATATCAACGCTCACACCAGCACAGAATTTAACTTGTCATGCTCTCAGTTCATGAGAAAAGCACGTTACAGATGGTGAGCAACTTCCTTTTTGCTTGACTTTCTGTGGTAACTTTCTCCCCTCTGCCTCTTTCTCAGGAAGACGCCAACGCTTGGCCACAAACTGCAGGAGTTAGATGCATGTCAACAGTATTTTATTTTTTACATCGGTTGTAAAAAAACATGTTGGTGCAAGTAAATCATTACAAGTTTCTGTCAACTCCAACCAGAATAGTTTCATTCAAGCTTTTTAAAGATACATATGAGCAACCATTAAAACATGGTGTAACAAATCCATAAGTATGAACATATTATGATGTTAACAATGTGAAAAAAATCTAATATGAGCAAAATTAGACATTGCATTCATCGTTTGGGGCCCACTAGTGTGAATTAACCTAAAGAAAAGGGAATCATTTATTGCAGGTCTGCTATAAACGGCTTCACCAGCTAAATGATTCCTACATGTTGATATATCGTTAATTATTCATTTATCTATTAAAAACAAGAAATTGTTAATTGAACTCATATTTAATTATTTTTACAGCAGATATTCCCTTAAGAGTCAAATAATAACTCATGTTTCAAACTGAAAACACAAACACAAACTCAAAATGAAACACATAGATGTCTGCGGTTTGTAGCCGCTGTGCAAAATGGAATCAGAGTTTATTGCTTCCAAACTATAATTATGTACAAAAAGCCTGATGTACTTGCAAACTGTTGGTGATTTCTTCACATTTTGTCTTTTTACCCTAGCTCCCAAACTTTAAATACCATCTAGCCACAAGACAAGAATGTAATGGCTGAACTAACCTCTGAAGTGAAAGCCCAGCTTTGCTATTTATTCCAAAGGATAAACATCAACACTTCCGTTTTAGGAGATTTGAGGTCCAATTACCCAGCATCCTCTGCATAACATAAACAGCTTGGTAATGTGCAGCACTGACAGATGTCAGTACCTCAGTTCTTCACACCACCCTGTGCACCAAAGACCCTGTGCAAGAAAGTGTATACACTTACAGTATATGTATTCATGCACTTTCTTAACCATCCCAAAAACCTTTCCACACAAGCCATGTAAACACACATGCACACAAACATGCATTCAGATGCATGTTGGAATTGAACTGAAACCAAAATTGTGTCTGTTATAAAAACAAATAGACTCATTTTTATTGTTGTGGCCCCAGATGCAATTCAGTTGTCTTAGCAATTGAAAATCTGGACATAGTCTATTTTCTTGTGGTTACATGGGACAAATTCTGCGCTAATGAATTCCCTTAAAAGGGAAAAACCATCAGTTTTAGAGATAGTTCAATACTAAACTTTGGATAAGGTTTTCCGTAAGTTTTAAGGAGAAAAAAAGCCACCATGAAAAATTCTCAGTGAAACCTTCTTAAAGAAAGCCCTTTGGACCTTCAATCTCCAAGAATTTTAGCTATAAATACTTTAAAATCTATAAACCGCCCTTTGTTTCACAGCATGCGCTCCAACGCTCACTCAGATCGCATATGAATGTTGCCTTTCTCCATCATTCTCTTGTTTTCCACCACCTCGCTTTACATCAGCACTATCACTGTCCAATAAGACCAAATGCATTGAAAGTGACAACTATAAACGATTTTAGTCGCGCTAAGTGTCTGGCAAATGGAGGCATCTGTAAAGTAACACTCCTCAAACAAGCCGCACTGCATTAGAGAAGACATCCACTGTCTGTTTGTTTGCTGAGGATGTCCGGAATGAGGGGGCTTGTGCTGAATACGACGTCTATTCCTCATAAAGGCACAGCTTTGTGTTTGTTAAGCTTTTAACAGGCTCTTAGCATTTACAGCGAACGGTGAGCGGCCTTGCTCTGTGTACAAAAGCAAAACCAGCACAGAATCTGGCAACGCACACCAAAATAGACTTCAGTCCTCTCACTCTTAGGTGTATTTAAGGCATCCATGTACCTTTGTAAAAAAAAAAAAAAGATTTCCACCAAATGTGAATGTTGTTTTTAGAGTTTTCAAAAGAATTGCTTTACTGGTTGTGAACACAGTCTCATCCTGCCCTCGGCAACCAAGTAGAGACTTGCACTTTCATGTAAACACAGAGTATTAATTCCGTGACATTTATACATTTATTGGCATTTTGTCTTTGAGCTGTACAAGTCATGTAAAGTCATCATACACAGTTATTGAGTAATATGGTCATTATGTGTGAGTTATAAGTTGACTGGGTGGCAGGTATCCAATGTTGCTCTCTATTGTGATGACAGATCCCAGGCCATCCCATTTACTAAAGCAGTTTTGTTTTGTTTTTTGGAGCCAGCTGAAGGACAAACTGTGCTCAACCTACTGTGTTCAAGTTTATCTTTTACTGCTTGGTCTCTTAGTGGTACGTTTCTTTTGCTGGTGAGCAATCGTGTCGTTAGTTTGGGTTTTCGTACCTTGTTTTGGTTATTCCATTATCTGTTTGATTTAGTGCCTTCTTTGTGTTTCCTTCCTCAGTCTGCCGCTGATTCTCCATAACACTAACCTAAAACCCAGATCCCTTCACCTGTGTTTCTGTTCTCACCTGTACTTCTTTGTACTAATCACTCACCCCATATAAGGCTCCCTGTTTCTTTCTGACATGGTGGTGCCCTCGCCCTCCTGGGTTCATTTCACATCTGTTTGCTCCTATTTTCTTCTATTGCATTTCCCTCCTGGGGCCCTTTCGTCCATCTTTTCCAAATCAGCTTTTCGTGCCCCTTTCTTCACTTTAAGCATTTGGCTTTTGTTCCTCTTGTTCTTGGTTGTCTGAAACTATTACAACAAAATTCTTACAACTACTATCGCGGTCCAATTTGGGGCTGCGACAGTCCAACTACTTTTAGATACTTTTAGATGTGATGAAAGCTCCTGCCACTATTCTGTCATACTGGTCATCTTTCATGAATTCTTTTATTATTCTGCAATCATTTACAGGTGACACACTTGGCCAAATGTGGCTGATATGTTTTTCTTTAAAAAAAAAAGAAAGAAAAAGGCAGACAAGTAAGAAAGCCGAACAAATTTCAAGCACATGTGAAAGTGGTTTGACCTTTTTCACCCACTGGATTTCCAACCAATCACTGGAACACATTTTCCACTGTATGTGTTGAAAGCAAAGTGCTTGCAATCTTTGTGGTGGGAGTTTTTTTTTTTTTCGGACCAGTTCTATGAATTAGGGGGACTCTTAGTGCTGCTGGTGTTATAAATTAGACCAAAAAGAAAAAACAAGCCTCAACTTGACTGTTGACTTCACAGTTTAACCTACTTTCAGAAGAAATGTTGACGGTTTTAAACTTTTACCACAATATTTGGTTGGAGGGAAATTATGCAACAGCCTATC